ACTTCATGGCTCATTGTAATCTACCTGATTCCTTCTAAACTGTTAATTCCACAGGTTTTAAGACCCTCTCTCCTTTTTAATGGTCTTGATGTTCCACTAATCAAAATAGCCTTTCTTCTGCAATTCTGTTAGCTGCTCCTGGCAATGTAGCTCCTGTTTCACAGCCCTCCAGACCATTTTTAACTCTAACTTAAAACATTAATTCAGGCATGGAAATAACTGTCAGTGAAGCACTGGAGGCACTGTTCAGATGCTCAAGAAGGCTAGATTTTGTCTTATGAATCTGAAAAAGATGTATGTTTAATTCTAATAACTACAGGACTAACTACAGGATTAATGAATCAATATCTTTGGAGTATTTTTGCCTAATTTGTTGTATTTGTATATATATCTGATATAGAAAATTAATGCACAGCCTAATAGAGATATACTTGTTTTTACTTCAATCTTAAACTGAATAATATAGCCCTTGGGTTTTTAGGAAAAAATATAGCCCTTGGGTTTTTAGGAAAGCTTCTAGTTTCCTTCTCATTGGAGAAAAATGTATTGTGTTATATGATACCCCACACCATCTGCAACTCCCTTTTCAGAATCTTACATCTGCCCATGTCTGTGGGTCCTGACTCTTTCATGATATATGGCAGATAGTGCAAGGTCCTGTTAAGCCAGGATGCTGAAGGTCCTCACACTCCCTGTAGGACACAGCATACTGGAAGTCCACAAGCACCTGTGAAAATGCCGCTCCAATGCTGTCAGTGCTGCAAATTCCTGTGCTCTTGCACAGTATTTATTGAGAAGGATGTTCCCACATATCACATGTTTAGATATCATGGGAACTCCTCCCAGGATATGTGCATCTGTCCATACACCCCCCCCAAACAGCAGAACAATTTTGGAAGAAGGACAGCGACTGTCTGTAAGAAGAGAGTGGGAGATGCTCTGGCTTTAATAGCTTTTTCATATACTAGGCTGGACAAGGGAGTACATGGATACAAAATGGTCCACGGGTAAGAGATTTATTTATAATGAGCTACTCGTTCAGCATTAGTTGGCAATGTATTTGCTATGTTAGTGAAAACTTTTTGGTTTGATTACAAAAAGCCAGAAGTAGTAGCAGGGTTTCCAGTATGTTGTGAGCAGCATAGATTATAAATGAGCTTTCTGATCTTCTGTTTTCATTAATTTATAGGTTTCAAAGCCAAAAGGGACCACTGGACTCTCCAATATAGCCTGCTGTATAACATGGGCCAGGGAATTTCATCCAGTTACTTCTGTATTGAGCCCCATAACTTAGGTTTGATAATAGTATTTCTTTCCGAAAGGCATCCAGTGTCGATCTGAAGATTTCAACAGCAGAACAATTCACTGTGAACTGGTATGATGGACCTGAGTGAAATTTTTGTCTTCAGTAGTGCTCATTCACATCTGTTTCTGAGCCTGGAGTCAGTAGAGGGGTGGTGGACTCTCTAGGGGACTGCATCCTGCTGTAATGTTTCTGTTTTCCACCAGACCTGAATAACAGCAACATTCTGCTATAGAAGGATAGCCCATTTATCATGTTACCCATTCCTTTGTAACTTTTGTGTTGTAGCGGTACCTCTGAGGTGCATACTGACATGATGAATCCTCATGTTCAAGGTGTACAACTAAGTGCTATTAAGTATGAAACATAAAATGATAGAGTCAGAATTGGAAGGGACCTCAAAGGTTACTTAACCAACCCCACAGCGCAAATACAGGATGTGCTAGTCTGTTTCAAAACTTTTACTGGAGGAGGTTCCATAGCTTCTCTATGTTGCTTGTATTACTGTACTTAGATAGGAAGTTCTTCCTGAGATTTAATCTGAATCTGCTCTTCCGTCATGTAAACCCATTGCCTTGTGGCCTGCCCTCTCTGGCAAGGCAGAACAATATTTCTCCAACATTTGGCAGCCTTTTAAATATTTGAAGACTGCTATCTAATATTTGAAGCCATGCAAATATTTGAAGACCGCCACCCTTAATCTCCTTTTCTCCTGACTAACCATATCTAGGTCTCTCCATCGTTCCTTACACAGCTTGCCTTCTAAAACCTTTGTCATCGTTGTTGCTTATCTCTGGATGCTTCAGGGTCTCTATCTCCTTCTTAAACTGTGGTGCTTAGAACTTGACACAATACTCTGGCTGAGGCCCAACTAGCACCAAGTACAGTGGTATTATTACCTCCCATGCTTTGCATATAATACTTTTGCTTTGCTATTTTTTTTGTAACAGCATCACACGGCCAACTCATGTTGATCTTGTGCTTCACCATAACCCCAGCTCTTTTGTGGGTATGCTACTGCTTAGCTAGTTATCCCCAATTTTGTACATTTGGGTTTGACTTTCTTTCTCTTGTGTGTCACACCTTACACTTGCCTTTGTTGAATTTCATCTAGTAATTGATAGCCCAGTTCTCCATTTTGGCAAGATTCCTTTGAACTTTAAATCTGTTCTCCAAAGTGTTGGCAACCTCCCACCCAGTTTTGTATCAATCTGTACCAAAGCCATTAATAAAAATGTTAAACATCACTGGGCCCAGAACAAATCCCTGTGGAATTCCACTTTGAGACTTCCTGCCTTTATAACACTGATTCATTCACAGTTACTCTTTGCTTATGGTTATTCAAGCATCAACATGTCTACTTCACAATAATTTTATCAAGCCCACATTTCTACAATTACTCATAAGGATTTGTTCTGGATCTTGATTCACATATTCACACTCTCTTTTCGTGTGATACTGTACCAAAAGACAAAAGTCTGTATGTTATGACCACTGCATTCCCCTCTGCATCTGTCAAGATGTTGGATGGTCATTCATTCATGCATTCCCCTCACCCACTTAACTAGTTATTCTGTCAAAGAACAAAATCAAGTTGGTTGGGTATGGTTTATCCATAATAAATTCATATAGGCTCCTAGTGATCATTCCTTTGTCTTTCAGGTCTTCACAGATGGACTGTGTTACAATTTGCTCTTGGAAGTTGGGCTGACTGGTTTATAAATGCATTGTCTTCTATGTGGCCCTTTTTAAAGATGAGCACTAGGTTAGCCTTTCTTCAGTCCTCTGGGACTTCACCTGCCATCCATCACTTTGTAAATATTATTGCCAGTAGCTCTGGGATTTTTACAGCAGTTTCTGCAGCATCCTGGGATAAATGTCACCAGTGCTTGCTAATTTAAATAGATTCAAATTTATCAAAAGTTCTTTATTTTTTATGATTTGAAGCCCTTTCCCTTCTTTGTTTATATTTATTTTGTTAGTTGTCTGATTGGAGGGGGGAGGATGCTTTGTTTTCTTTTTTAGAAGTAGTCAGGTGCCAGCTCTGCTTTTTTTGGATCTTCCATTAATAGCATACCCACACCATTGAACATTGGATTTACAGTTTCACTAGTCTTTCTTTTCTGTCTGACCTTCCTTGCCAGTTGCATCTCATTTTTCACCTTTGCTTTCCTGATTTTGTCCTTATATATTTTTGCTATATCCCTTGGTATACTTTCTTAGTGACTCACCCTGGGCCTTTTTCTCCTTCCACCTATTAGGATAAAACTGGTTAAAACAATCCCTTAGGAACTGCCATTCCTGATCTGGCCCAGGGTCCATGTGACAGGGACAAGCTATTTCAGAGGAAGTCTTATTAACTACATTATTGCATATTTCATACAATAACAGCATGGAAGTGAGCATTCTGGAGGAAGGACTGCATTTGGCTTTGAGAGAAGAGTGGAAGTGCTGTATTTTTCTCTAGAGATCTGGTTGTAATAGTCCAGGATATAGTCTGGGTTCATCAGATTTTGTGTGTCAATGCTAAAGTGGATTAGGGTGGTAACTGCTCCACATGTCACATACCATTTGCTATGTTCATAGATAACACACTCCCACTCTCTCCTACATGGTATACATGACAGAGTGTCAGTACAAAGAGGACAGGAAGGGCATGGCTGTGTATTTTCACATGCTACTTTTATTCCTTTTTCACAGATGGATGAAAGAACCCTGGATCTACCCAGCCACAGCCTTTTGGTTTATTTTTCCTTTTTGGTTGACATTTTACTGAGCATTTTATTATTTTAGATAAAAATCATCTTTAATTTCACACTGTGAGATTGTTCTTATTGCTCACTGAAAGGTTTTGCTCTGGATCTTGATTCACATATTCATACTCTCTTTATGTGCATGATGGAAATCAGTCCTCTGGACCTCTCTCTAACTGGGACCAAACAAATTCCTGTTTCAAAAAAATGGGTCTGGTGGGTAAATCATTTATTGTCACACATGTCTGCCATTGATCCCTAGTTAGGATGTCCTTTTGTGTTATAGAATATTTATTTTATTCTGCACCTTGTGTAGTAAATGGAAGACAGCATCTTGAACTACAGATATATCCATACAGCAAATCAGAAAAGGGATGAGCTGCTGATTGAATACTAATCATGAGCAAGGGATTTTATAGCTCTCCCACACCAACCTTCATTACTTTAAATACATAAAGCAGGTAGATTTAACAGTCACAAAGGTCTGATGGGAACTCAGAGATCCAGAGATGATGAAATAAGTAACTGTGGCTTCAAGGATGGTTTACCACAGTAAGTTTTATTTGGAGCTTCCTTTAAAGAGTACTGTGTTATCACAATTTCATCACCATTATCATCATATTTGATGCTTTTTTAAAGCTTCATTTCTGGTGTCATGCCATTTTATGACACTTTTTTTTTTCCAAATTTTCTTCCAATTTTTTTTCCCAAATTTTCATTAAAAAAAGGGAATTTTTGCTTCTGTGGATGTAGAGAAAACTCTGAAAATATAATTCTCTAGTGGCTCAAAAAAGGAAAGCAAGTAAAAAGAATGCAATATTTATAGGGTTTTTAAAAATATGATATTTCAAGCTTATGAATCTTATGAATTCCCATGGCCTGACCCATGTTTTTGAAAGCCTGGTTTTGGCAATACAGTATTATAGCTATTATGAAACATGGAAGATTCATGGCTAAAGGGCTTTTGAGAGAGGTAGTTAGAAGTGTTAGTCTGAAGCCAGTCAGAAGGCAGGGTAGATATGCACCTTTATAGATTAACTAAGTAAATATATATTTATTGATTTAGTTGATCTATAAAGGTGCATATCTACCCTGCCTTCTGACTGAATTCAGACTAAGGGACCATATATTAACTATAAATATATATATTAAAAGGATAGAGTAAGAGTTGGAAGGTTAAGAGTTGGGAATTAATACATAATATATATGCAGGATAGATATGCACCTTTATAGATTATATATATATATAGTTAATCTATAAAGGTGCATATCTATCCTGCATATATATCTATCTATATAGAGAGACATATATATACACATATATATATAGAGAGAGAGAGAGAGAAGTGTGTGTGTGTGTGTGTGTGTATGCACAAGATTTCATGAACTCAAGTTCACCACCAAATGCTGTGGGCTTTTGTACATAAGTATCAGTGATGCCTACATGTTGGACTCTTCATTGGCTGCCTTTTGTCCCCTGAGTGCACTAAAAGGTCTTACTACTGAATGGATTCATATTAAATTACTACAGGGTCACTCGACTTGAAAGAGACTTCCTAGAAATCTGAGGAAACAGGGCTGCAAGAGGCCTTGAGAGATCCTTGAATCCAAGGGCTGACAACCTATGGCCACTGGCAGGATCCAGCTCACCGAGTGATTTGATCTAGACCAGGGTTTCCCAAAGTTTTTATGCCGTAGCCTGGCAAACTGTGGTCTGGAAGTGGTTGTGGCCCAACAAACCATGGCCCAGCAGCCACAGCTGAACGCGGCCAGAATTTCTGGCCAGAAGACAGGTAAGGATACCCCCACCCCCTGGGTGGAGGGGTGGGCCAAACCCTGCACTGCTACAGACCCTGTAGAAGGAGCTGTGGCCTCTCTGCCTGGCTCTGGGGGGCCACAGTTTCCTGGTCCGTGGCCACTCCTGGTTCGGCAGCCGACCTGCACTGGGCTGCAGCTTGGAGATTGAGAACCCCTGATCTAGCCCATGAAGCCAGATGTCAGAAATGATTTGACAGTGGTTCAGCACTGGAGTGGAAGCAGGACTGCGGTGAGGGGCAGAATGGCAGGGGTGGGGGATCACAATGGCAGCTGGGTCAGAAGCAGAACCCTGTCCTTGGACTGGGCTCTGTTAAAGCAGCCTAATGCTCATAAATGGTTGCTGCGCCCTGATCTAGTCCATCCTCCTATTTCAAGGCAGGATCAACTATCCTAAGCCTTTCCTGACAGATGGTTCTCTGACATCTTTTCTCTTCCCATTCATTTGTGTTTCCCTTTACAAAAACTATAAATGAATGAACTGAAGCTACTGAGAGTCTCAAAAGCATTGGAGCGGCTGCTTCATTGAAGACCCACATGTGTGCAATGTGTTCTTATCAAAACAAATACCAGTGTGCATTTGAGGCATTTTGATGTGGAGCATAATTGCAAGGACTGGTTCTGCACATGAATGAGAGCTGGTTTGGAACTTTTTGACAAAATAGTTTTTCTTAAAAAAAGAAAAAAATATAATTCTTGAACCTAGAAACTTTTCATGGATAGAGGTCAGTTATGATGAATTTATTCTTTATTCGTTTTGAATTTTAGAAAATATTGACATGGCTGACAAGCTATGTTTTGATATGTCCTAAATGAAAAAAACATATCTTAGTTCAAAATGATTTTTTTGTTTCAAAATGTAATTAATTTAAAGTAAAAACCAAGAGAACAAAAGGCAAAATTAAAATGAAGCATCCAAGATATCAGAATGTTGTTCATAAACATTTCAAGATATCTACTTTTTATCCTAATTTTCAAAATCTCAAATATAATCTTGGGATAAGAAAACTGTTTTCTACCAAGATTGATTTAAACTTCCCCACAATTCCTAACTTTCCAGGTCCGTGTCTTCATCTTTCTGAACAAGCCTTAATACTCATCTGTTACCATTTCATTTTATCTGGGTGGATGGTTATCTTACAAACTGTATATGATGAGCTAAGTTATTTTTGTTTTGCTATGTTCAGAACCTCGTGAACTATGATCCCGTCAATAGGATTTGGTCATGGCTTATAGTTGCATTTTTTGACTGTCTAACGCCATCCATAATTCACAGTATATACAAGGGGAATGACTGTGGCTAGTGCCTGTATGACCTACACTACTCAGACACTGTAGGATGGTATGAATTGTAACATTATATCTGTCCCAGTTTATAAGGAGTCTTCAGTGTCCTCATATTAGTTTCTCCTCACTTTTGAGACCACTAAGTGGTTTCAGCGGAAAAAAATCCCACCTCCACACAGTCTGAAGGTTGCTGGTTCAGAGTTCTCAGACCCTTCTCTCTTGGCCAAAGAGTCAGCTGAGCCTATGATTCATTCTCCTATGTCCCTGTGGTGCTTTTTGGAATAAGGGCTGACTCTAGTGATTTCCTTACTTCCAGGAAAATAATTGTGCTGCCCCTCCACATGGTTTATTGCTCTGACCAGACAGATCAGAGATTAAGGGAGCTGCTGCTCCCTTAAAAGCTCTAGAAATGCTGCTCCTTCAATTCTGCCCTTCCAGGCAATTGTCTGGTTTGCCTAAAGCAAGGGCTGGCCCTGTTTGGCACCCTCCACTAAAACCAGACCTCCTCAGTAGTACAGGCCACTACTACTGTAAGCCACCTCTTTTGTCAATGCAGTCTGGTACCACCTCAAAGACAACCACTGGCTTCTTCTTTCGTATGACAAAAACGGTGTCCATATCTTTATCTTTGTGCGTTTTGGTGTTTTTGTTGATTCAGGAGTTCTTGGCTGTCAAAGATGTTACCAGGTATTACTACATGGAAGTGACTGTCATCGATCCCCACCACTGGCTTAAAGTGATCTGAAATAGGATTATAGAAATAACACCCTGTTGTTCTACTTTCATTTGTTCTGGAGTTTCTGAGCCATTTATAAGTTAATAGATCCGCCCCGCACTTTCCACATGGTATCTGAGGCCTCCTGTCTTGCCCATTGAAGTAGTAAAGGTTCTTTAGGTCAAATTCTGCCCTGGGTGGTGTGTGCACAACTCCATCCTATCAGTTGGCCTTGCCTTGCACAGATGTAGCTGGCTGGCCCTGAAAATGCTGTTGCTGTCATAGGAATGCAGTTCCACAAGGACTTTGGCATCCAGGTCTCTCTCTGTCAGCTGTGTAGGCACTGGCAAGCTAGCAGGAACAAAGCAGCAGCAACAGCTGGTATCTCTGAGTACACTCAGGAAACTAATGTATTGGGTA